TTTAAACCAGTGTTGGAAGTCAAATTCCAAAGACAATTTCAGCTTTTAAAAACAGAACTTAGCTTCATATCTAATTTTTCATCTTTTCTCAGAGGTAAGTTCAATAGAAAAAGGGACTGAAGATGCAGACCTCCAGCCTGCTCGTGTCCCTAAAGATATCGTCTGCTTTCAGGTTTGTTTCTTTCCTAATCTGGACAACCAACGCTTATGCATTTAATGCCAACCTTTGAGAATTAAACCAGTCCAAACATGATAATATTTTTCCTGGTGTAAATGATGCTATTTTTCTTGCTATGCTTGTCTACCCTTCTGCCAGCCCTCTCAGTACAGCATGTCGCACACTGCCCACCTGGAGCCAAGGGTCACCAGACTGCCTCTGCTCCACCTAGCTCTGTGCAAGGAACCTAGGGAATAACTCTTAAGAAACAGTACACAGAGATGTACGGCAAAGCATAATTCAGTATCACTTGCTATTATTTTCCTTTCCTGCCTGCATTTTCAGAACCATCCAGATGTGAAAATATACGCCTACTGTTTGGGAGCTGTACCGAATTTTCATGTAAAGTCACAAATATATTTTGCACCATTAGGAAGTTGCACCTTACGCACTTTCAGAAAAGGCTCTGTACTTTTCAATCAACGTGTCAATTCTTTAAAATGGGGAATTTCAAACTTTTGCCTTTTTCAAGCAACAGGGGCTTTTTTAGAAACATGATTTTGTGAATACCTGCTGGCCTATTCATTGTCAAACAGGCCACATCTCATTCCATTTCTGACGGCTTAACATTCATATGAATAATTCATTAATTGCCGCTGCTACTAAAATGATATTATGAGAATAACTGCTGTATTCTAGCTCCCTTTCAAAACCAGCTCAGTTTCAAAACTGAGCCACTGAAAAAGCAAAGGATAAACTGAAATAGCCAAAATAGCTAAATTTGTTCTTGGACAATTGTTTGTCTGAACTTGTCTGGAGTCGTTAGGCTGACCTCTGATTGAGCTACTTTTCAGAAACTCAGAATACATTTCAGAAATTCACCAGCAAGTCACTTGAAAGAAGTAACTTGTCAAACACAAAGTTCAAACTTCGGCGGCATGAGGGGAAGCAGTCCAAGACAGAGACATTTGATATTTAAGTAAGACAAAATAAACCTTTCCTAGAGATGTAGTAAGTGTGGTACTAATCCAAGCCTGATGAAAATGTTGAATCACCTGTACGCAGGCATGACTACAGTTCCTCTACATATAAAACACAAAAAATTGTTTCTTATTCCTATTTATGCAAAGGAGAGAATTCCCATTAATTTCAGAGGAGCCAGGACTCACTGCCAAATGAAACCAGAGATTTCCAATTTGGGGACGTGCCGTATTCTGTCATGTTCACAAAGAAATTTTGCTTTGGATCTGCAGATGCATAGCCCATAATTATTAAATTTATCTAGGAAAAGGCATTAGTAGACGGATGCAGATGATGGGAATTGTTCAGCACTTGCTTTTTTGAGGGACTGCTTTGGGGAAATTAGTCACAATCATTTATCATTTTCAGACTGCAGAACATTTCATTTTATAATAAGTGTAATGCAGTATAACCCAGGTGTTGCAATTTGCTATCCTCTCAAATTCTACTGCAATTTTCAGAACCAGTCCTTTTCAACCTGAAGGCATAACAAAATGAAATTGGAAGAGGAGAAGGGTTGCTATCTAGAAAAAAAAGAGAGATTCAAAGTGTTAACAGAACAAATTAACAAAGTAATGTTAACTTTGCAAATCTCAATGAAAAAGAAACCCATTCAGATTCAGATGTATTATTATTTAATTTAGCGTAAGCCTTCTTGTTTCCCTGGATCAAGACCATACTGTTAGAAACTGGCAGAATTAATAACAATAACTAATCATTCATAGTCAATAACAGATTCTTTACTTTTAACAGAAAGATACTGGCTTAATCGAAGAATTCTGAGAAAGATGGAAAAGGAAGTGTGATAAAGATCATCGCTAAAATAAAGTTGATGGGTGAAATCCCTCCTGCACACACATCAAAGGCAAGAGTCACACATTTTCATCAGATAGGTTAAATACAAATATCTAGTTTTGTCCTATCCAGCAGATCTAAAACCAGATGAACACTGCACTTCCACATACTACTACGGCCTTGATTTACCTGAAAGAGTTCTGTTGATTTGTCCAAACTATAACTTGAATTTTTTATTCTGTTTCACAAAATTAATAGCCTTAACAGCAAGTATCCTTTGATAATAGTTGTAAAATGAAAAGAGCTTAATGAAAGTCTAGTCAGTGTCTTTGCTGACCAAGTTTTTCTGAGAACAGTTTTTTCTAATTTGAGTAACAACAAAGAGAGGGACCAAAAGTCTAATTTTAAAACGAGAGAAAACAAGTACTAATATTTTTATATAGCTTTGCTTCATTTCCAGTGTTATGGCACCCCGGCTAAGACTCCCCTCAAGTTCAAATATTTTATTATATCTACTTATTCATTCTGTTCCAGTAAAAATAACATAATTGCACCATTGTAATAAGCTGTGTGAATGAAGATGGGAACCAAGCTATAACTAGCAACTACTAAAGGTCCTATAAATTTATCCTATAGCAACATATATGTTAGAAGTAATGATATACTGATGACAGCTGTATTTTAAGTCTCAGATTAAACTAAGACTTAGAAGTCAGCATATCCTCCTGAATAACCCTTACTTATACATAATAAGAGCAGTAAAAGAAACTACTAGAAGGTAAGCACCCTAAATAACGCTCTGTCACTCACAGGGGTGGCAGCAACATCTGTGGATATCCAAAGATTAGAAGAGGTTAAAAATAATTAGTAATTTGCAATTCTGGCATCTGCACTGTCCAACTTCTCTTCAAGCTTTCAGTTAGTAACTTGATTTTCTGTCAGTGCCTGCCTGTCTGCCTCTCTCTCTCTCAGCCAGTTGAGTTTGTGGATAAGGGAGAAATGGTATTTTATCTTCTTGATTTCTGGTATTTGGGGGAAAGTACCATCAGTCAAGGGAACTGCTAGTGAAAAATATTGTTTCTGGCTCGTGAGTTTAAATACTTGCTTCCTCCCTTTATTCACACAGTTTACAAAATCCTTGCCTCTCATCTTTGCTGAGTAAAATCAAACAAACCATGATTTATAGTGTGGTTCACAGTCAGTTTTATCTAGGTTGGACTGACCAGCCACGCAAAGCTCTACAACTTTAAGAGAATTAAGGAAGTCTTATGCTATGAAGCCAATATGAATCATTTGCATCTTCCCCATATACTGCCTTCAGTGCACATTCTACATAAAACGAGAGTCAGTTATTAAGTTAGCAGATTTTAACACAGCACACAATTCAGACTACTTGTGCCTTTCACTAGTTGTGCATGCAAGTTGTCACCAGTTGTGCTTTAAAACTGTCAACAAAACCAAATGTTTTTTGTGTGCTCACGGGAGGCGGCGTGTGAGGACTGCGGTGAGGAGAGTGAGCTGCCATGTGCTGTGTGCTGAACTTTAAATATCTACCTTCTGTTTTTATTATTAATATAGCATCCTATCAGCATAACTAATGACTTTTTTCTGTATTTTTGCAAGTTGTTAAATATTCATGCTATAATGACTTGAAAGAAGAATGCTCTCTGGCAAGCTAACTAAAATAACCAGGGATGAAATCAGAAGAATAGAGTGGAAGAGTGGGAAGAAGAAGAAATAAGAAAAAAATTTCCAAGACTAATTTGAATTTATTTTCCTAGACAACAACCGCAGATCATTTTTGTCAACCAATTAATGTGAGTATCAGGCAAAACACAAAGACCAGCCGTTGCCACCATGATGCTGTTTTGATGAATATGCAATTAAAGTGTAAACAAGCCCACCCTACTGCTTTGTCTTTTTCTGCACATTCATCCTTCTTACTCAGTTGGGGTCTTTTTGTTTTGTTTTCTTTTGTAGTTATTATCACAGGAAATTCTCTACCATACTAAGATCTGGAACAGACTGATACCTTGACAGATAATAGCTTTTAAAGACCCATAAAATAATTGGAGGGGTACAAAACTGCTCTGTCTGTGGCACTGACATGCTCTGGTGATTTCCCTTTCCACCCCTGACTGACCCTTTCCTTCATGATGCAATGTCAGCAATGCAAACCGTGGAAACCACTCTTGCCTTGTGCTTTATAAGCAAGCGGTCAGGCCCTCAAACACCGAATCGGTAATGAAAACCACGAGTAGATAACAGAGAGAGGGAAATAGCTCAATATAACCTTTACAGTTCTGCAGCACTGGGTCAGCTTTGTGTTTGGGCATTGGTTCAAAGAGGCCTATACATCTCATATTCATTTCTTTTTCTTTTATTTTTTTTTTTCAATCTTTCTTTCCACTCTTAAGAACTTCCGCTCAAACAGCCAAAGTTTATGACAGGGAATACACTAGCCTCATATCACAAAATACCTTCCTATTCTGGTAGATGTTTTCGGTTCAGCTTTAAACCAACAGCTTCACTGCAGCTGCTTAATGCAAGGTGTTCACACGGGGGGGAAGAATCTGGCTGAAGAAGAGCTAGGAGGGGACAGTAGATGTTTTACTGAACTAACATTTCTCACCCTAAGTTGATCTTGAATATTTTCTGAGTGCAGCAATTTGCTCTCTATTTGGCAAGGTAATTGGAAGGCAGCTACATCTTATGAATCATTTAGAGTTTCAACTAGGTAAACTTTAGCTAACAGGGCACTTCGTAAGTTCATATGGTTTTGTTATCTAATCTAGTACGTGCCTGTGGAAGAAATGGGTTTTAATGCATTTGATTTGCTCTTTGAAATGAACTATACTGATAAATAATATTATATTCTGGAAATTGTTTCATTGCTCTGGTATTGACGAGCTGAAATCAGATGCTCTAACACCAACTAGGTTCTTGGTAAAATGGTGTACTTAATAAAAAGGTGAGGCAAGAGGGAGAAAGTGCATTCCTCCTAGTGCTAAAGGATGAGGATGCTTACCAGTACAGTCACGACCCGTAGAACCACTCCTCGCATGTTATTCTCCAACTTTCTGTCTGTTAGTGACCCATTCAGACCAGTGATGGGATTCCAGCAGCCAAGCTGAAAGAGAAAACAGAAATAATTTCCTCGTTGCCCATAAAACTTTGCCAGTCATTCATCTTAGGCAGCTTTAAGCAGGAACGTATGAAATAAACAGAACACCTTCTGGAATCAATGGCATGGAAAGTCAGAGAAGGGTTTTGCACACCGATTCATCTTTAAATTGCAAATGAAGCAATTAGGGATATCCGTTTGTGCTTTTAAATACCAGTGTGAAATGGATGACAGCATCCAGGGTTTGGGGGTACGCATATTGCTTTAGAAGAGCTCAGACAGAACTTCTATATTAATGAAAAACATTTAAAAAGTAGTACGGCTCTAACAATACTTCTACCTTACTTTCAGTGATACACTAATTGGAGAAATAATGGCTACCCTAATTTTAGCACACTGTCTGCTCCAGCCCATCTTTCCTAGAGGAACTCTGATGCAAGGAATTACACTAGTTTTAATTAAAGCTTATACTACTCATTGATAATGAAAGAACAGTGATTTTTAGCCATGTTAAAAATCAAATCTAAAGATGATTGAGGAAAAGACCATTGGACAGGCACATCACAGTATTGAGAAAGGATTGCAACGGATAATCCAGAAAAAGGAATTGAGCTATGAGATGCTTTGCATTGGAGCTATTGTATTTCTTGGGCTTCTATGGACAGAAGTTTTTCTCAGGGTTCTCTCTAGAACTAATTGCCTTTCAATCTGAATTTAGTAGATACTGGCCTGTAATTTAGCTTCTCTGAAAATATAACTTGCCTACATTCTTACATGGTGGTAGATGCTTATTTTGGGAACAAGGAAACAGACCAACCAACCACTCATCCTTTAGCACCACATACAAACATTACTGGTTTCATTTTTGGAATTCATTACCACATTCATCTGGTCTGTACAATTACCAGTGTTAAATCCTACAGAAGGACAATGACTGACTTCAGAGGACTTTGGAGCAGAGTCGCCCTTATGGCACGTAAACTAATTGCCCATGTAAACCTGTTAGACAGTCAAAGAGGCAGGCATCTGCAAGCACCAGTTCTTGCTCTGAATTGCCTTCTCCATGGACTGTGCTTGAAGTCTAGGGAGGGATGCTCATCTAACTCGGGTAGTTAACTTAAGCCACTAAACCAAGGTAGTTTTCATATTGCTATTTAAAGGCACAAAAGATCTTGCTCTGACAAAAACTAGATTAACATCAGCAGGTTACTGCTGGGCCCACTGGCCTCTACTAAGACTAGTCTCTCAGACAATTCAACCCTATAATCTGTGAGAAGTATCAACTGTAAAACATCCGAAACATTACTGTACTTCAATGCACAGTCACAGAAATGGCAAGGTGCCCAAACCAGCTGAAGGGGTCTGGGAAAGAAGGGGACTACCTTTCTTGACCATGGTTGAACACAAATTTACAGAAAGCATTATTTTCAGTCCTTCATGAGAAAGGCCTTTGCACATGTGTTTCATAGATCTTTCAAAGTGAGACAGAAAACAAGGAACAAACTCCAAGCACACACATTTAACAATTTGAGACATGGACCATTTGAAATACTTGCTTTCTTCATTACACCCACTAGGCTATTTTACAGCAACTTCTCAATTATTTAATATTCATATCAATTCTTTGAAGAAGCCGTCTTAAGAAATGGGTGCCTCAAAAAGTAAAAAAAACCAAAACTTTTTGCGATGATATAGAGGTTAGGTTTGACTTGATGATCTTAAAGGTCTTTTCCAACCTAAATGATTCTATGATTCTACGATTCTATGTTTCCCAAAAGAAGATGGTCTTAAAACAATATAGTCATTTCTGTCTTCCATTTTCAGAACTGTCCTAATTTTTCCCACTTTTAAGTTAAGGTTATACTATTATCAGGGAATAAGTAAGAGTATTGCTGAGCATACTTTTAATCTCAAGTAATAACTAAATGAAGGATCTACTGGATTCAAAACTCCAGCAGAAATCATTGGAAGTAGCAATATGATACAAGGAGGTACTAAAATATGAGACAACATATTAATCTCTTGCAAGTAGTCATCTTTCCAATAGCGATTTCTGAATAAAAGCACAAACTGTCGCTGCTTGGTTTCCTCACTTCAGGTTCCCATCTGATCATAAAGACCAACCACAGATTATAGTAGCCATCTCTGATTCTTCTACACCTCCTCAGCACGTCTAGCTGTTCACAGCAGTATGGACAGACCACTGACATGTTCCAGGTCCTCATCACTCCTCTGGCAAAGCCCTCCAACAATTTGAGCTGAATAACCTAATTGCTGAAGTGCGTTACCTGCAATAATGCAATGAAATGTAGTGAATGTATTTGAAGTGTGTGCACAGTATACTGTATGTGATAAACCACTGCCATCTTATAAAGCAAAGCATTTGATAGTCTACATTTTCTGTACTAAAAATATTGAAAACAGCACTAAGTTGAGAACAAAAGTGCATTAAATTAATTCGGTGATTGTCATTCTTAGTCACATAAAGAAACTAATTAGAACTTAGATCCAATTAGCATACCCAAATGTGTTGGAAGTGTAATTACTGCAGAAATTGTAATGGTTTTGCCAGATTTAAAACCCTAGGAAGTTACTGAAGAGCCTTTGTGTCCTTTTGAGGTTAAAGTCCATTTTTAATTACGTACATTAATGTGTACATATTTATGTAATTAAATTTTTAGCCCGACTCATTCTACCTTAAGGAAAAAACTACCAACATAACTGATTCCTGAAAATTTAGTGTAACACTAATTTTCCTTTAAAAAGGCACATTTTATTTTCAATTATTGTTCATTTAATTTTCAATTCAATTGTTCCTTTATGCAGCACAGTCATGGCGAAGACGAACGTGCAGTGCCTTGCCAATAAAGTTGAAATTGATTTTGAGTGGGAGCTGCTTACAGTTATTAGGTGAAAATGAATCAACATTTATTGATAACAATCTGAGCTTGTCATTGCATCAAGGAGCAAGTGTAACTTGCTGAAACAGCAAGGTGGGGGTGGTATGAACCTACATCTTCAGCTCTACCTCTCGCTTAACTGCTTCTGCAAAACATTTGTTGCTTCTGCATTTACAGAATCAAAGAATGGTCAGGGCTGGAAGGGACTCTGGAGATCATCTAGTCCAACCCTCCTGCCAGAGCAGGGCCACCTACAGCAGGTTGCATAGGATGGTGTCCAGGCGGGTTTTGAATGTCTCCAGAGTGGGAGACTCCACCACCTCTCTGGGCAGCCTGTGCCAGTGCTCTGCCACCCTCAAAGTAAAGAAGTTCCTCCTCACATTAAGATGAAACTTCCTATATTCAAGTTTGTGCCTGTTACTTCTTGTCCTGTTACTGGGCACCACTGAAAAAAGATTGTTCCCATCGCCCTGGCACCTTCCCTTCAAGTATTTATAAGTACCGATAAGATGCCCCTCAGTCTTCCTTTCTCCAGACTAAAGGGACCCAAGTCCCTCAGCCTTTCCTCATAAGAGAGATGCTCCAGTCCCCTGGACCCTCTCCAGCAGTTCCCTGTCCTTCTTGAACTGGGGAGCCCAGAACTGGACACAATACTCCAGATGCGGCCTCACTAGGGCAGAGCAGAGGGGGAGGATGACCTCCCTCGACCTGCTGGCCACACTCTTCCTGATGCACCCCAGGATGCCACTGGCCTTCTTGGCCACAAGGGCACATTGCTGGCTCATGGTCATCCTGTTGTCCACCAGGACTCCCAGGTCCCTTTCCACAGAGCTGCTCTCCAGCAGTTCATCCCCCAACCTGTACTGATGCATGGGGTTATTCCTCCCCAGATGCAGTACCCTACACTTACCCTTGTTGAATTTCATAAGGTTTCTCTCTACCCAATTCTCCAGCCTGTCAAGGTCACGCTGTATAGTGGCACAGCCATACAGGTATGTCAGCCACTCCTCCCAGTTTTGTGTCATCAGCAAACTTATTGAGGGTACACTCTATCCCTTCATCCATCTCACTGATGAAAATATTGAAGAGGACTGGACCCAGTACTAACCCCTGGCAAACACCACTTGTTACTGACCTCCAACTGGACTCTGTGCCACTAACCACAACCCTCTGAGCTCTTATCTCTCAGCCAGTTTTCAGTCCACCCCACTGTCCATTCATCTAAACTACCCTTCCTAAGCTTGCCTGTGAGGATGACGATTTACTTCCTTTTTCTTTTTTTTTTTTTTTCAACTGTTTTTGATAGTTGAAATGAGAGAACAGATCAGGCAGTAACAGAATCTCACATTATTTCTGGTTGATTTGTGTAGAACAATATGGGTGATGGGAACTCTCTATTGAGCACAGTACTTGTCTTCATACTACATGAATTTTGTCACTTATAGTGCTTTGTACTTCAGGGGCAGTTTCTTTTATTTATTCTAGTGACAGCATTCATTTTGCTACATTCAGATATAAAATGATGAAGATGGAAAAGTTGTCAATGTTCTGCTTCCTTTGATATCCAATTTACAATCTCTTTCTGATCATCCCACCTCCCAGTTTGTTATCCTCTCTATCATCATTATTAGAGTGGGTTTCACTCTCCTGTTTTGCTGGCAGAACCAAAGATTGACCTCCATTTGCAGAGGTGTTTCTTCATTAGAAATTTTTGCCTATATGAACCATGCATTATGGAAAGCCTGTAATTTCTATACTGATAATAAATAGGCAAAATCTATTTTGTGTATATCTGCAATTTCCAGACACTGATTTATAAGGAACTTGGAACACTAAAATCTATAATGCCTTTATGACAGAGCTTACTGCCAGATTTTCTCCCCTACTTCCTATGAAATCATGGAACTCTGCTGAATACATGAGAGCTTTCACTTCTCTTTTTCTGGCAGAGTAAAATGCAGATTAAAACCGTGCCACTTAATTGTGAAAAATACATTGGCCTGGTATGATCCCAGTTGACAGCAATCACAGAAAATAAGTGAAACCAGAATACTGATACAAATGTATATTTAAGTGCTTGTCACTACAGGAGAGCGTAGAGCATTC